TGAATTTTCTGTATCGTTGCACCCCTAGTAAATATATATTTTTAACTTGTCCATGGAGCATCTCAGTCTGTCTTCTATYAAACTCTAAACACTCCAGTTTCATGTCCAGCTGTGCAGGTCACACACACAAACACACACCTGCAGATTTCTTTGAGTCAGTCAGCAGGCAGTCCTGGTTCAAAGGTTCTTGCTTATAGAATGTAGCCAAGTGTGACTGTTTATTTTCATTTTATTTTTTTCAGGAAAAAAAAAGGCATCAACTAATGGTTGCACGTTGTTTGAATAAATAGAAGATAATTTTATCGCTGTTGCTGGATGATCTAAAATAGGGTCCTGTTTTGTTTTTAATGGCTATTTAAAAAAAAAAAAGCCAGATGTTCTGGTGGTGGAAACGGAAAGCACTGGTGCTACTTTAGCTCTGGCGCCAGTTTATCACTGTGACGTTTTAGGAGGAAAAATCTCCTTYAGACGTATCTGATGTCAATTATTTAAAAAGTTAACTGTCTTTTAATAGTTGAAGTTTTAAATGCATAAATCAACATGGCTTGATTTTGTTACCTGGTAGTGGCCTTTCACAGATGATCAATGAACTCCCACACAGTCCATAGGAAGAAAATGAACTGGTKTGGTGAACTAGAATAAAATGGAATGAAACCATGTCAGGAGAAACACGAGACCTTCTCATGATGAAGGTGTAGACCTCATTTAAACTAGCCTGTTTCTCCTTTGGGTTGTAGCCATCTCTCATTAAGGAGGCTTTCTCTGGAAGTGAACAGGACTGAGGCTTAATGAAGGCCCTGATAAGGTGTGTGTGTGTGCGCGTGCGTGTGTAAGTGAGGGGAGATTTCAGACAGTGAAGCTTTGTACCAGCTGCCAAAATGCAGCGTTCCGGTTCGGAAAGTGCTTCAGCTGAATATCCATCGTGCAGAGAACAGAAATGCACACGCACACGGCCCATCACCAGGACTCTACAACAGAATGCTGGATTCCCTAAAAATACTCAGGAACAGACAGACAGAGACAATAGGCTGCTTTGTTAGGAATGTTTCTGCCTCTTTGCTTCCGCAGAGGATCTTCCTCAGTGAACTCCACCACAGTTTTGTTGCTTTAGTGTGTGATGATGCTGAAAAGTCCAGAAGCTTGCAGGCTTTGCCATCCTCCTCTTCTGTCCTTTTTCGATGCTCCTACCTTTTTTTTCCCCTTTGGCTCAGGGAATCCTCTGACATCTCCAGGGTGTGTCCTGTGCTGCATTCCTCTGCTGCCTCAGAAGAATGTTTAGTCCACAAAAACTCCAGAAATTTGGCTCCCATGTTATGTTGACTTGTTATTTTTGGGAAAAGCAACCTATGTTTTATCTCTTATGGATGGTTTGTTCTGTGTGCTGATAACTTTGTAGATGTTTAACCTTTTCCTTTGGGAGTTTCTCTTGAAAGTGATGCAAGAACATGAAGCTCCTCTGTTCTGATTAACTTCTAAATATTTCTTTCACATCTATAATTTCTGTTGTGCTGTGTTCTCTCCAAAGCTAAACCATAATTAGGAACTTTAATTCACTGATTATCATCATTATTATCATTATGAAGCTTAAAGATATATATTTTTATTTAACTTTAAAAAAATTCTATCAAATTTTATTAGCAGCTGTCCAACAAATCATCAAAAATATGGAATATTGGTGTTTTGATCTCTTTATCTTGTCTTACTTTGTCACTAAATAAGTTATTTATTCAAACAGAGAAATTGAGTTAATGAGTTGCTGAGTATTTTCCTCAAAATAGATTTTGATTTTACAGTTGGACACTAGAAAACCATTAAAAAAAATCTAACTTTTTGTTGTATAAATGTTTTATGGGGAAAAGCTAGAGATGTGCATGATTTATTTTTCTGCAGGCTGCCTGATGACTACAGATGTGGAAAATCATTAGGACCAGTGGAATCTCTCCAGGAACATCCTCAGCAGCCAGGGAAGATTCTGATTGGCTACAGCCGAGGACTGGTGGTCCTGTGGGATTTAGGCACCCGCTATGTGGACCAGATGTTTCTCGGCAAGCAGGTACTTGGATCACAGAAGGTTAAAGTTGGGGTGTATTTGATGTTAATGTCTTGGAGGGTGAATATGATTTAGGATATTACCTTTAAATTGTAATTGTGACATGGTTTTGTGTGTGTGTGTGTGTGTGTGTGTGTGTGTGTGTATGTGTGTGTCTCCCTGCAGCAGCTGGAGAGTCTGGTCTGGGAACGCTCTGGAAACTTATTTGTCAGTTCCCATAATGATGGTGGTTACTCAGTGTGGGCGGTTAGCAGCGACATCACCTGCAGTCAGCAGCCGGTGTCCTCCACCATCCCTTACGGTGAGAAACCACCTCACAGACACACTCATCACGTTCTCGTTGTTTGCTTGATAGATCTGAATAACATACAGTCCTTGTTCACAAAGATCAGCATCAGCTAACTGAGAGCAGAATAATCAGTCATGACTTTTTTTTAGATGAATGCTGAAATAATCCAAACAATCTGGAGTACATGGCTAAAAATGACAGAATTAAACTCTTATTAAAATATATTATTTAACTCTATGTTCAGACTAAAAAACAACTTTAATCAGACCAAACCTATAATGCTATGTTCACACCGAACACATTTTCAGCATCAAAAATGCGTCCCAACGCTAGTTGGATGGTTGTKCACTTTGAGGTCAGATGCTCATCATTTGCTCTAGACGTGTCGGGAAGTGCCTCTTGGTCGTTTTCCTCAGCTGGTCTTTGTACAATGRTGGATGAAATGAAGTGGCTTTGCTTTATTTACTGAAAGCAAGAGCACCAGATGTGCTGTACAGCTTATCGACACCCCTAGACATGCCTCCACCAAAGACTTTGCATGTAGACCTGACTCTCCTGGTGCTCAAAACACATTCAGTCTGAACCTAGCATAACTCTTTTTTTTAAAGCTAATGTCAGTTTATTTTTTTGTTCCAGGTCCRTTTCCTTGTAAAGCCATCAACAAGATCTTGTGGAGGACTTCACAGTCCGGGTGAGAGACTCCTACAGTCAGACTGACCAGGTTGTGCTCACACACTGTAAGACTTGGTTAGAGGGACAGGTTTTGCAATCTTACATCCATTCAACAAGTTTTTATGATCTTGCTTTGTGACAGAGGCACTAAGCAAGAGCAGAATGTGTAGGAAAATTTCCAGGCTAACAAGATTATTATCTAAGGTCTTACCAAGTGCAGTTGCTTTACTGCACTGGCAAATTATTTCATTTAAGATTAAGATTTTATTTTTTTATTTTTAGATTACGATGGTTTTGCTAAACACTGAGTTTGAACAAGAACTCTGCACATTTTTCAAGCAGGATCAGAAAATGCAACTGAAGGNTGTTAGGTTGATAAATCATGCATCTTCGTCTGTGTGAGGCCCAACCAGAGACACTATCTGTGTCAAAGAAACTGGAAGCTGCAAACAGGAAATACATTTTCTGTTGTAAATTTTTAAGCTGAGGTCATGGTAACAAAGGAAGCAGAACATTTTCTTTTTCTGTGCCGTTAAACTTAGTACGAACTGCCGATAAATACCGCTGGAGCTTTCAGAGTCCTTACTTGCTTTCGCTCCTGATTGTTTGTTTGTTTGTTTGTTTGTTTGTTTGTTTGTTTGTGCAGAGCTGGCCAATCTGTGGAGGGAAAAACCTGGCACCACCACCCAAACAGCAAGAACTGCTATTGACAGGGTTTGTGCACACACTCCCACACAATGCAGATGTTTTTAAAATGTATTTATTTATTTATTTATTTTTATTTCAATTCGGTTAGGCAATAAAAATTTCAAATCACAAAATAAACCTCTTACAGGGAACCCCGGCTAGTTGTAACATTAGACATTATTTGATAAACGTTTACTTCAACTATAAAACAAAGAGTGTAAAAATATTGCGGGATGTTTTAGTTTTTATAAATTAAAAAATATATATTGTCACACCGACAGTAATGTTTTATTTCCAGCTGCAAAGCATACTGGGTAAACAATGACGTGCGAGGCTGCGAGCTCTTGAAAGTCAGTCTTGGACTATCTGATTATCAGCCTTTTTAAATTAAACCAGAGTGTTTTTACAGACAGGAGAATGCAGAAACGACTCAGCCTGAAACTAAAAATGATGGAGGACAACAGCTGCTTCATGGAAGGCTAACCTTAGCTTAGCCTGTTAGCTTTTGCATTAGCATCCTAATCAGATGCCCAATCCACCTCAGCAGACTCCTTTTGATGCAGAGGAGCAGGGACTCTGCTCTGAGCTCGCTAATGAGGAACTCAACTCTTTGTTCACTACAACTGACCGAAGCAACACCCTCATTACTGAGAATGAAGCCCCAATCCAAAAGTCAATCTTTCGCTCCATCCTAACATCACTCGTGAACAAGACGCCCAGACGCTTAAAATTGAAAAGATCATCAGTGTTCCTATGATGATGAAAATAATTCTGCAGTAATTGAAAAATATTGTTAACTTTTCGTTATTAGGTTTCCTCATTTAGACACATAGAGCTGCAGAGTCATGATTGTGTTTTATGTTGACAGGTTTTTGTTTAAATCTCAACATTTACAGGCACGAAGACGGCACTGTACGTTTCTGGGACGCGTCAGGTGTCGCTCTCACTCCTCTGTACATACTCAGCACAGCCAATGTCTTCCACACCGACTGCGACCCCTGCGATGACCCCCACGACCCGAGCGACAACCCCGACCTAGAGCAGGAGGAGGAGTGGCCTCCGTTCAGGAAGGTGAGACGCGAGGAGGGCCTTTTCAAGTTGAAGTCAGATGTTTCACTGACTGTGGGAGTCAACTCAGCTGCTCTGTTACACACACACACACACACACACACACACACACACACACACACACAC